GCAGCGGAGAGGCCGGGCAGGAGGCTTGCTGGGGACAGGGGTAGGAGTCGGGAAGAGAGGGTCTGGGTGGAGGCACCTCCTGGGGTATGGACCTTGCTGGCCCCTTGGATGGGGAGAGGATGAAGAGAGAAGACTGGAGCTGGTAAGGCTGGTGCCGGGAGATCTCCAGCTCCTTCTGGGACACCTCGCTCTCCATGAGGTTGTTGCCATACAGTGATGCAGGAGGGGTTTTGGAGGGCCTGCAGGGACTCTTGGAGGGGCGTCTGGAGACCATGGGTGACAGGTAGGCATTGTTGTCATACTTCCAGGAGGGAGGCAGGGACATGGTGGGCGATGGCGACCGCAGCAGCTCGGGCTGGGAGGGGGCCTCAATGATGAACTTCTCCATCCTGGACTGTCGGCGGGCAAAGAGCTCAGCCCCCTTCCCTCTTGCCTCAGTGAGGATGTGGCTGGGCTGTGGCTTCTTCTTGGGCTGGATGGTGGGAGACTTGAGGCAGGAGGACCACGCTGGAGCATCCTCTGCTGGTGGGAGGTGCTGCACACCCCTGGCTGTGCTGTTGGGGACAAAGTTGGAAGCTTCAGCCCCGAGGGCAAAGGGCTCATCCTCGGTGCTGGGCTCCCCGTGCTCCTTCTGCTTCTTCCTGCTGTCTGCACTCTGGACCAGGTCCAGCAGGTCGGGGTTGGGGCTCAGCTTTGGCTTCTCCAAGAAAGTGAACATGGACTTTCTGCTGCCTCTGCGTGCAGCCGACTCCTCCAGGATCCCAGTTTTGGGCAGGGGGTTTGGTCCGCTCACCCCGCAGCCCAGGAGAGGATCCGGCAGCACCTTCTGCACCTGGCTGGGGTACAGGGCCGAGTAGGCAGGGGGGGAGCGGACACGGGTGAGGGGTGGGGGGCTGCTGAGGGTCTCTGCATAGGTTGGTGGTGGGGGCAGCTCGGGGGCGGGGGGCTCCTCGGCCGGCTGGGCGCTGGCGGGGGATGCCTGAGTGCCGAAGGGTCTGGCTGTCCTGTTCTTCACGGGTTTGGGCTTGGCCAGGGTGAGATGGACCTCGTAGTACTGCCGGCCCTGTGTCCCGTTCTGCTGCTGCCCTCCTGGGGGTGCCATCCCTGTGGCTGTGCCCGCTGGCGCGCTGGGCACCTCGCTGGGCACCTCACCGGGCACCTCAGCGGGCATCTCAGCGGGAACCTCCCCAGGCACTTTGCCGTTCTTCCCCTCCTCGGGGCTCTGTGGCAGGACAAAAGCTGGCAGGGGGTTCGGTCCCGCAGGGGCTGCTGCATTTCCGAGCCCCTCCACCCCTCTCTCCATCCCGCCGGCCGCCTGCTCCTGCACGCCGTTGGTGGCGGCTGCCGCCATGTTCTCCTTCAGGTAAACGCTGAGTGGCACCTGCTGGGCTTCGGCAGGAAGCTCCTGGCACGGGGAGGCGTTTGCCAGCATCCCTTCTCCAGGATTGCNCCCGGGCGCCGCGCCAGCCGGGGCGTCCAGGTGGGCGATGCAGGAAGAGACGAGCGCCTGTCCTGGAGAGGGACAGAGAGCGGGTTAGTGACTCGGGGGAACGCGGGGATAGAGCAGGGGGACAGTGCCAGGAGGGTGCCGAGGGAAGATTCATCCTGGCACAGTCCCTCAGGAACTGGGCATGTCTCCTCGTGCATGGCACCCCTGCAAGGTGTCCCCAAAACACATTTGATCCTGCACCCCCTCGCTCACCAAGGAGATGAGGGCAGGCTGAGCCTGCAGATAATCATCCTTGCCCGGAATATGTCCCAGGACCTGTCAATACCTGCAGCTTCCTCAAGTCTCCCTGTGGGGGATGCTCGGAGCCCCCCCTGCACTGCCCCAGGATCCATCACCCAGCACTGCTCCCCCGGCGGCAGGAAAGAGAAGAGCCAGGTGTGACAGCGCAGAGAGTGTATTCAGAAAGGGGGAAAAGAAAAATGCAGGAGAAGTAAAGCACAGTCAGAAGGCAACTTGGCACCATGGGGAAAGTGGCAGGAGGGCACGGGCAGGGGCACAGCTGGATGACAAACCTTGGGCTGAGCATCACCCAGCAACCCTGCCCTCGGCAGCCTCCTCATCCCAGCCGTGCCACACCGAGCCCAGGTGGGGACAGGGACCCCGCAGGGACTCTGGGCTCAGTGACACTGGGCTCTGCCATTCCCCAAAGGGTGCAATTCTTCCTCCACAGTGAGGAAGCAAACGAGGACAGATCCTGAAGGAGCAACAGAAGAGCTAGCAGCAGGCACAGTGAGGCAGAAAGGCAGTGTGTCCCTTCCAGGTTTGCTTTGGTTGAGCTGAGAAGAGCCCAGGACAGAGGGGATGTGGAGGAGCAGGCAGAGCTCTGAGAGCTGGAAAAGCCAGAGATGAGGAAAGTAGGGAGCCAGAGGTGAGATGCTCCATAACAGTTTCCAGGAGAGAGAAGTGCAAGAGCAGCCCTGTGGGACAGGCAGGCTCCTGCTGCCTCTTTGGGAATCCTGCACCTCTGTGCCCAGTTCCTGCTGCCTCCCCGGGACTCCTCAGCTCCTCTTGCACGGGGGCTCAGCAGCGCCTGTCATCCACTGTCCCAGCACTGCAGCCTCACATCACAACCACTTCTTTTTTCCACTTCCCCCTCCCCACAACTGTTTTTCGTGGTTGGTTTGGCTTTTGGCTCTCCCATGAGCAGCTAGTTCGGGAGGACTCAGCCTAGCACCGCTGTGTGTTTCTCTCTGCCACCACTACTTGTAGTACAAGGAAGGTTTCCACACCTGCGGCTCGATGCCGGCGTTCCTGGTGGAGTAGGAGGGTCGGGGTGCCTGGAACCCCGCCTT